AGAAGTAGACCAGAATGTAGAATAGTGAGATTAGACACAGAAGTGTGTGGGGGAGGACGTAGGAAGGATACAGAAAGAGAAAGTTCTGGTGTTCTACAGCACAGTGCGGTGGCTGTGGCTCACAAGAAGCAACTACCTATTTCTTCAATAACTAGGAGGGAGAACCTCAAACTCCCCAAACAGAAGGTGATGCTAAGTCAGGTCAAATGCCAGCTATCCTATTTGCACACATATGTGTAAGCAGACATTGCCACACCACACCTCATAAATCTGCATAGTCATTGTGTGTTAGTCAAAAATTAATGTGTGCATATTGTTACTATGCTGCCCAGGTTAGTCTTGAACTTCTGGGTTTAAAAGATTCTCGTGCCTCAGTCAACTGGGTATGTGGGACTACAGAAGCCGGACACTGTACTGGTTTAATAAGAGGTTTAAGACAGGGTCTAGAGCGGGGTGGCAGTGGTGGCACACACCTTTAATCTCAGCACTCTGGAGACAGAGACAGGCAGATCTCTGTGAGTTTGAGTCCGGCCTGGTCTACAGGGTGAGTTCCACGATAGGCTCCAAAAGTATAGAGAAACACTGTCTTGAAAAACAAACAAACAAACAAACAATAAAAAAGACAGGGACTAGAGATATAGCTCAGTGGTTAAGAGCATTGGCTTCTCTTCCAGAAGATCTCAGATCAGTTCCCAGCACTCTTGTGGCAGCTCACAACTATTTGTAACAGTTTCGGGAGATCTGATTCCTTCTTCTGGCCTTGAGGGTTCTGCATGCAAGTGATACACAGATACACATGCTGGGAAAACTCCTTTACTAATAAAATAATTGAAAAATTATATAAAAAAAAGATTTAGGACAACGTTTAAGGGAAGCTAGATGAAATGGTAACTGCAGGATGTTTGAATGTTACATGGGATGCTAACTCTCCTGGTTGGAACATTCAGTTTTTTTTGTTTGTTTTGCTTTTTCAAGACAGCATTTCCCTGTAGCTTTGGAGCTAGTCCTAGCACTTGCTCTGTAGACCAGGCTGGCCTCAAACTCACAAAGATCCACTTGTCTCTGCCTCCCGAGTGCTGAGACTAAAGGTGTGAGCCACCTTTAATCCCTGTCTGAAACCTCTGGCTAATCACAACATTTTATATGTGTATTGAAGCATCACACTGTGCACCATAAATATATACAATAATAATTAAATAATAATACAACAGTTACAAAACTCCCCCTCTTTAGCTGTTCCACAGCATATTAGTTATACTGCAGCTTGTCTCAAAGATTGCCTGTATCAAGTGTCATTGAGACATAAATTAGCTGTGCCCTCCTGTTGGTGGAGGTTCTGGCTCCCCATGACAACACTGGCAATGAATATGCTCACTCAGCCACTATCTGTCCGTTATCTGCTGTGTGTTAGGCATTGTCCTGGATGCTGGTTGGTTGGTTCTTATCCCAGATGAATGGGGGAGACCCAGTGTCTTCGAAGCTGACTCCCTGAGCCCCATTTTTGTAATTTTTTTAAGTGTGGAAAGAGATGGTTGTAAAATAATGTGCATGTATTTAATGCCAGCATGTCCTACACATAAAAAGGGTAAAATGTGCATATGCTTAAACACCATGGAAAAATAGTATAAGCCTTATAAACTTGTGAGAATTAAATAAGGCTAAAACACAATTAGAATGATAGCAGGTGTAGCAGTTGTTGGTATTAGTCATTACTTATAAGCATTCTCCAGAGCCAGGGAGATGGCTCAGCAGGTAAAGGTGTTAGCTGTACAAGCCTGAGGACCTGAGTTTGATCCCTGAAACCCATATAAAAGACCTGGATACCATGGCTTGTATCTGTAATCCCAGCATTCCTATGGTGAGACGGGAGCATCGTCTGGAAGCTTTGGGGCCAGCTAGACTGGAGAACAAAGCTAAAGGAGACATTTTAAAAGTGCCAATAGATTCACAAAATTTTGAAAGTGTAAGAGCGGGAAATAAGGAAACAATTTGAAAACTAATCTATCTGACAATTTTAGAAACTCTTTAGAATTCAATTGTGCTTCAAGATCATAGCCGTGATTTTCCGTTTAAAAACGGGCCCAAATTATGACTATCTGGGAGACGCTGAATGCATGAAAGTTGTCAGGAGTGTTTTAACTTTCCCCTTGGTTTAAAACAAAACAAAAACCAAAAGAAAGCCCATAAAGGCCTGAGAACTCTGAAGTCCAGTCTTTTGACTTGACAGTGACCTTTAAGCAATGGGATCATCAGGAAACCTGCCGGGTGGACCCACCGATGTCACTACATGTGGCTCACAAATGGAGGCGCTGTGCATTTAAACATAGAATTCTATCTCCTATACTCTTTCTAGATCTGTGTGGGGTCTTGGCTATTTGGTTCTAATTCTTGGCCCAGTCAGTACATTTGGCAAGTGTTACTACCTTACGCTCACTCTTCAGCCCTGTTTGCCTCCACATCTGGGCTCTTTAACTTTGAGTGTAGTCTTTTAAACTATTATTTAGACAAAGACAAAGTGACCCAGTGGAAGATAATGTGGCTAACTGTGGGTTCAGTCTATGACACAGTTTGCTGAGAGGGGTCAACCACTGCGCTGTGTGTCCAGCACCATTCTCGGTTCCACGCCACCTAAAGCAGACTCAGGATCACAGCAAACACTCAAGGACATTTCCACATTAGTATTTTAAACTTATTTTGTTTTATTTTTCAAGACAGGGTTTCTCCGCATAGCCCTGGCGGTCCTGGAACTTACTGGAGACCAGGCTGGTCTCAAACTCGCAGAGAACAGCCTGCTTCTGCCTCCTGAGTGCTGGGATTAGAAGTGTGAGCCACCACCACCACTGGCAATAAACTGAGTCACAGGGGACCAACCCTTTTTAGGCTTCCACCAAAATGTCCCTTAGAAAGGTCATGTGACTTTTCAGTTAGGATGATTGACACTATTTCCCCATAGCCTTTGGAAGTGGGTGTTAACTACGGTAAATATTTAAATACAGAAGGGGTCTGGAAAGATGGCTCAGTGGGTAGAAAGAGGTGCTTGCCACCAAGCCTGGCAACCTTTGATGACCTGAATTTGATCCCTGGAGCTTACACGGCGTTAGGAATTTATTCTATGACCTCTACACTCAAACCATGGCATGCATACCCTCACAAACAAACAAACAAACAAATGTTAAACACAGAAAGAACTTAATTTAGGACATTTTTTACACAGGTGATTGGAGTGTGCAGAACTCAAACAGATATTGAGACAACACTGAGATCCGAAATCTCAGGAGTTGGATTCCATCCTATTCTAGAAGGACAAAGAGAAGGGCAAGGTCGAGGGTTACCTACAAGGGCCTGGGACTGGTGTGGGCCTGTCTGCTGGAAGCTGGACTACAGAGGTACTGCAGGAGTTTGTCAACTGGGGCAGAACTCTTCTGGCTTTTCAATTCTTCTCCCTCCCACTCTTCTCCCAATGTACCCTATCGGCAAAGAGCTGGTTAGCGCAGATGTTTCTGGGATAATACAGAACCTGTGTTCAAGCATATGATCAGAGCAGAGCAAGAGAAGGGTGTGGAGAACAATGGGCCCAGCACAATGACCTCTGGATTCCTTCAAGTTCATAGACAGTAGGATATCCATGCTAGCTATGCAGAGGTCAGCAGACCCAGGTTTGAGTCCTGGCTGTGTTACTCACTGACCTCAGGAAGTCACACAACCCCTTAGAGCTTCAGTTTCCTTATCTGAGAAAGAGCCGGTAGGGAGCTGAAGCAGGAAGATCAAGAATTGGTGGCCAGCCTGAGCTACACAGTGAAACCCCCCATCCCCCACCCCGCCTCTTTAAAAGATGGGTACATGGAGACAAGGAAGTTTTCTGAGAAGTACTTCGTCTCACAGGGGCATTGGGAGGATCAAATTAAACAATAGCTTGAAGTAACAGTAAACATTTAACAAATATTTCCCTTTCATTCAAGAATTTATGATTTTATGGTAAAGGGCAGTGGGGTGTTTGGTCAAGGCCATTACATCTGTCTACTTTGGAGGGGACAGGAGAGGCTTTCCTTTTGGAGGGTCTGCCTGCATTAGGACATGTGATTAAGGTACCTCATAATCAAAGTGGGAGACAAGCTAAGAAACACTGAAAGCTTGCACAACCAGTTCACACAGTGCTTGCCCTAGAGGAGACGTTTCCCATTGGATGCTCTAAGAGATTAACTTCCAATGCACAATGAGATGGAGGTGTTTGCAAAGGAGGAAGCCAGGGTGCACTTCTCTCAGGGAAGTGGAAGAGGACTGTGAGGGATCACGTTGTGTTTTGAAGGATGTGTAAGAGTTATCTAGAGGCATGCATAAAAGTTTCGTTGAGAAAGGGGTTGTTGGTGTGAGCTAGTCTGCATTAGGAGGGGTTTTGAGGGGTCCATCATTGAGCTGGTGGATGAAGAAGTGGGACATAGGACCAGACATGGAAGAGAGAGCCAGTGTGTGAAGGGCCTTGTGTCAAAAGCTAAAGTTTTATTAGAGCTGAGAGACTTTGAAACTAGGGAGTAACCCACCATCTCCAATCCAGAGTTTCAGAGCCACACATCGTCACAGACTGTCTCAAGGGACATGTGTGCGTCTCAACACATGAGATAGAGTCAGAGGACAACAGAGATTCCTCTTAATAGTAAATGCAGAATGGAAAAAGTAGTTGACTTCTGCTGATGCCAAAAGGCTCAAGGTAAATATTGGAAGCTTTCATTTCCACAAGCTAGGAACACCAGAGGTCGAATGATGATGTTTGTAGCTATGAGGCAGGGTTTTGTGGGTTCTGATTGCAGTCTGGGTAAATCCTTCTCACTTTTGACGTTTTCCCCATATACGATCTGCGAGCCTCATGATAGGAGTTCTTGGCATATGGGGCAAGATGACAAACCTGGGGTCTGAGTTTCGTGCCTTCCCTCCCTTACCAAGAAGTTACATTCAAAGCTGCAACTGCGTTTATGCACACACCACCAGCACCTTCCCAAACCCACCTGTCTCCTTCCATATGCCAAGATGGCTTCTTTGAGGTCTTGAAGCGTGTGTAGTTCAAGGTCTGGCTTCTTCCTGTGACCTCTTTTCCTCTCTTTGGGTGTCCATGCTGACACAGCTAGCCCCTCTGAGTACAGGATCAGCGCCCCCTTTCTTGTGCTGAAGGTCTTAGGAAGAAAGAGACTCCAGGAGTGATGGCTACCACTGTTCCTATCCTGGGGTTTGCTGACCAGGACATAGTCTTCTGGGGACTTCCAGTTCAAATAGTCCTTTAAGGAAAGGAAAATGCCTTGATTGAGACACTGTGGAAGACCCTTCTGCAGCAAATACTGTCTGTGCAAAGTTTTTGGCTTTCTAAACTGTATTATTTATGTGTGCACATGTGCCTTGGCATGGATAGAGGTCAGAGGACAGCGTGTGGGCATCAATTTTTGCCTTTCACTTTATGGGCTACAGTCCTATCCATACCTACATTTAATTAAAAATAATAAAAAAGAAATCTTTTTTTTCCTTTGGTTTTTCGAGACAGGATTTCTCTGTGCAGCTTTGGAGCCTATCCTGGCACTCGCTCTGGAGACCAGGCTGGCCTCGAACTCACAGAGATCCGCCTGCCTGTGCCTCCTGAGTGCTGGGATTAAAGGCGTGCGCCACCAATGCCTGGCTAATAAAAAGAAATCTTAAAGCACACACACACACACACACACACACACACACACACAGAGAGAGAGAGAGAAAGAGAGAGAGAGAGAGAGAGAGAGAGAGAGAGAGAGAGAGAGAGAGACGCCCAACACAATAACAAAAGTTAGTAGAACCTGGTACCCAAATCCATTTTATTCCACACAACCTTCAGAAGGCTTTTGGCAGAGCCCAATGTAGGCTACAGGAGAGTTATATCTCCTGGTATGCAAGCAAGTAGTCAGGATAATCAAGGACAGCAAATGACTTGGCAATTAGACTTGGAGTAGTGACCAGTTTAAATATGAGAAACTATTCCAACCCACTACTGTTTCAGCTATGCACAGAGAGGCTATCTATACATTCCAGCCTGTGGAACATTGCCTAATTTGGCTGTATATAGGAGCCTATAAGGGAGCTATGTATTTATGTATGCCATTGACCACTGAAGTTCTTTGAAGCTTTATTCATCTTTTAACCCAGTGAAGGTCAAGTATCATGGCAAACTACCACGACGATGGAGATCTCTGTTTGACCCAGGAATTTACAAAGACCCCCCAATGTGTTTATTGTTCCTGGCAGTCCTCAGAAATAAAAACTCCAGCACAACAAGGGGCTTTTTGCCACCTCTTTAAAATCTTCTAAAATGAGATTTGTTTTGGCCTCCATTAAATATGAATCCTGTGGGTTGAATTCCACAAAGTTCAAAAAAGCCATCAAAAGGCACAAATACAGTATTTCAACCACTGAGCACAGCTCCTAAAAGCCAACAGCAGTAGGTTCTCCAAATTTCGCCTACAGACAAGGTGGCGATTCTGATCTTGAACTAAATGTTTACGCTCCAGACAATCTAGATTCTCCTTCAGACTCAAGCAAAGGCAGTAGGCAGTGAGTACAAGCCAGGAAGGCAATTATGGGGGTCAAGCAAAAGAGGGAAGATCTACTAGTGACCACTATTTTAGCTCCAACTCTCACCAAAACACAGCTTAGAAAGACAGAACATTCCTCCCCATGCTCAAAATGTGCCCCCTCTACCTCAAGCTCTCGGACTCACCTCTGGTTCAAAATAGACTTCCAACTTCTGTCCGTTCTGGACCAACTTCCCGTGTCCCCGGCTCAGGAGAGAGAGGGTGAGCATGCTGACTACTCCCTCTCAAGGGCGGTTCATCTCGGTTTTGAAGGCTTAAAACTGGTCACACCTCAGTTTCCGAAGTTCAAGAGCATACCAAAGGAGACCATGAACATTGGACCTTTAATGAAATATGTTTCCCCTCTTACAGAAACACAGTAACATCCAGCCACACAGTTTAGACAGAGTTCGTCTTTGTGGAGAGAAGAACCAAACTGTATGGCTCCTCAGACAGCAGGCTGTGTACTCTCTGTGTACTCTCGGAGCCCTTGTTGTCCCTGAGACCTGGTTGCTCTGCTACAGGCCGCGTGAATCTGCAAATCTGGGCCAAGTCACCATCCTTCTCATTGTGAATGGAGGTTGTTTCCTGGTTGCTATGGCAGTATAGGGAAATGAAGTCCTTTAACCCAAGCAGAGGCACTGCTAATTCAATGGCTGGGGTGGGGGGCGGGAGCTGTCCACTGGACATTGAAGGGACCAGACTCACATACCAAGCCCTGGGGGTAAGGAGATGGGGTGGGAAGCCATGTTGGGGTGGTTTTTTTTTTTTTTTTTTTTTTTTTTTTTTTTTTGTGGTTTTTTTTTTTTTTTTTTTTTTTTTTTTTCTGATGTGTGTTCATCTTGTTTTTAACAAGTGTCTTCCCTTTCCCCTGACAAGTGAGGCTGTCACTGTCAACTATTAACAGACTCAGGGAGTCCTCTAGGTCACCGTAAGCCATCTGTGATGTGTCCCTTGGCTGTGCCCCAGGATCCTCTGAACTAGACAGGAGGCCTCATTTTACTAATGGCTGCTTTGCATGAGTGACTGGAAGATACCGGGAAGTTCTGGCTTCCTTTGCATTCCTGGTTCTCAATGGGGAACATTTTAGTTGTTACACACACACACACACACACACACACACACACACACACACACACACACACACACACACCAGGACCATACTACACCACTCTTGGGCCTAGATGTTAAATATCCTGCAAGCTGTGATGTGACTGTCTTGCATATCACTTGGCACCCTCTTAGGAACTTACCACTTGTTTCTCTTTGATGTTGACACAGCACAAAACAAGCTGGAGGGGGCTAGGAAGTCAGAGGGCTCTGTTGCTGGTTGGGAACCAGTTTTGGCCAGGGAAAACAAACTGCTTGTGGAGGTGCCCCCTGCTGGTTGGTATTCAGAGGTGCAACAACTTGTGGGCCTACCTACCCATCAGTTCCCTTCCTGTGGAGCGTTCCCAGGGCTCCACCACAACGCCCCACCCCCCAAGGCGGGCTCAGACCTCATGTTGTGAAATGAGATTGAGTTTATCTGAAGGCATTAAGATCGTGAATGTGGAGGTTCAAAGGTGAGTTTAGTTAAATCAACAGTGAGGTAACACTTCAGCACCTGGGAAGCTGTAAACAAAATGAAGCAACATAAAATAGCCAGTGTTGGTGAGGAGGAGAACTCAAAAATCCTTGTACATCAATGTGTATTTAAAATGCTGCATCTGGCCGGACGGTGGTGGCGCACGCCTTTAATCCCAGCACTCGGGAGGCAGAGGCAGGCGGATGTCTGTGAGTTCGAGGCCTGGTCTACAGATCGAGTTTCAGGACAGGCTCCAAAGCAATACAGAGAAACTCTGTTGTGGGGGGGAGGGAGGGAGGGAGGGAGGGAACTGCGTTGCTACGGAGCAGTGGTGGCACTCACCTTTAATCCCAGTGCTCCGGAGGCAGAGGCAGGCAGAGCTCTGTGAGTTCGAGGCCAGCCTGGTCTACAGAACTAGTTCCAGGACAGCTAGGGCTGTTACACAGAGAAACAAACAAACAAAAAGGTAAACTTCTGTATCTTAGATCACAATTAAATTTTTTTCAAACACATAGCAAACATTTGAAAACTGACTCAAGCACTTGCTAACTTAGGTGGTCAGCATATCCTGAAATGATCTCATAACAAGTAGGACAAAAGCCTTTAAAACTAGGGCTCTAAATAGTTTCCAGGAGTCTTAGGCTACAGGCATCCCTATTTTCCCCTTCAATACCTCTTCAAAATATAAGGACTCTTGACAAAAGCTTCCCAAGTGGTAACTATAGCCTAGATGAAGCCCTAGTCTCAAAAAGTACCCGATTCCCCCTGAAAGACAGGACAGCTGTGTTCCCAGAGGTGGAGGACAGAAGGTGTTTGGGGGTGTGTGTGGTGGAGGGAAGGCATGGATGGTGGGGGCCTGGGGAATGCTACAGACAGGGAGGGTTAGGGTGGACATGGAAGGACACAAGTTCAATGGGAAGATGTGAGGACAGTGAGGGACACGATGAGAGAAGACTTTGTAGGAGGCATGCACATGGCCAGGGGTGACCTCTCTGGTGGCCATGAGGGCCATATAGTCACTGGCTTTTATTCCTCAGCCCTTTCCTTTCAAGACAGGGTCTCGTATATCCCAGGCTGACCTTGAAATTGCCGCGTAGTCATGGTGATCTGGAATTCCTGGTCCTCCTGCCCACTCAGCTGGGGTTTTCAAAGCAGGGAGGCGATGTGATTCCATCTGGGGCTTTTGAAAGGAAACTCTGAGAAACTTGTAAAAGGCAACGGAAGGAAGGAGGGTGCTTATCTCCGGGTGATCACTCAGGACTCCTAACCCAGGCCCATCTTCTCTTGGACTTGAATGAACTTGTCAAGCAGGTCAGGAATGACTCATCAGTTGCTATCTGACTGTTGAGTGAAATATAGAAAGGGAAACTCCATCAGCTGCAAGAAAATAGAAATCTTAACATTTTGGAAATGGCATTGCTCAACAGAGAGTGACAGCTCAAGAGGAGCCTGGTGGAGTGATGGGGAGGAAGCTGAGTGAGAGCCACAGCTGCCAGCTGAGGGGTGACTGTTTCTCTGGTAAACTTTGTGTGTGTGTGTGTGTGTGTGTGTGTGTGTGTGTGTGTTTGTGTGTGT